CCAGAACAAATTAAGTACTTAACCCGAGGTACCACTGTACAAGGCATGTTTCCTCCCCGCCCTGAAACCAACTGTATGATCCAGATTGGGTCTGCTTCAAAGTACTGGATTGGGCTTTGAACTGGATCAGGGGCATGCCCAGCCCTAATATCATTATACTGTTATGAAATTAACAGAGACCAGGCCAGAATTATCCTTTTGGGAAGGTCTGTTTGTGAAAAAATGGTCTTCAATAGGTATTGAAACTGCCTGTCTGATATCCGCCAGGAGGGACTTCCATAAAACTGGAGTGGTTAAAACTAAAAGCCCTGCTCTGTGTCACCACAAAGTGGACCTTGGCTGCAGGGCTGTAGCTAGGGGGTGATGAGGTGGGCCTCCGCCAGGGGCGCGGGTGAGGGGGCGTGCAAAATTGGCTTATAAATATGTCCATAAATTAAAATATTGATTATTGCCTCATAAGAAAAGGTTTTTGAAATATACTCGGAGTCGAGAGTGGATTTCATGCTCTTTATTTAGCTCATAGTGGTGAGGAGGAATGGAAGTTCCCCCACAATATCTGCTTTATATACATCATTTACACAATGGGCTACACGTGATTGGCTAATTCCGGGATTCTCCTGTAGGCCAATCAGGTTGTGGATTCACTTCCACCTGGAGCTGGATTGGGTGGCACCTGCTGACCAATCATACTGCTGCATTGTTCTAGTACCAATCAGGCTGCTGCATTCTGAATCCTATTGTTCTAGGACCAATCAGACTGCTGCATTTTGGATCCTATTAAACTCAGTACATAACAGTTTTAAATAGAGGGTGAATTGATTGGGTGGAGGTTGGAGGAGAGGTGGAAAGAAGAGCTAATTTGTCCATGGCTAGGGGGCGCGATCTGGACGGTTCTACCAGGGGCGCAAGATCACCTAGCTACGGCTCTGCTTCACTGTGGTACATAACACTAAGAGAAACACATCCCCTGATGACCAGAGTGGCCACACCAGTATGCAGGGCGTGAAGTAGTGTCCCAGATCCTGCAAAAGAGAAGTGTAAGGCATAGGTTCCCAAATTGTGGTCCTGGGACCACCAGTGGTCTGAAAGTTTCATTCAGGTGGTCCATGGTGTGTCTGAGAAGAACAGTGGGAGCAGCAGATGGAAATGGGGGGGCACAATTAGTGTAGCTTTCCCTGATACTGAATGACCCCCCTGTCCTTATGTTTAGTTAAGGCAGCAAGCTAGTATACACACTGACCCAGGAGTAAGCCCATTGAACTCAGTGAGTCTTCCTTTTGAGCAGGCATACACAGGGAGGGCTTCAGTGTAAGTCACTTGCCTAATTTTCAAAACATCTCTCTCCTTTTTTTGTGGTAAAAGATATTTCTCCATCTTTTCAAAGTGCCCTTATTAGCTTTGGGCCATAAATGCTACAAAACAGATTTGAAAACTGGAACAAGCCCAACAGAAATGCTTGCTGCTGGTGAATAGAAGGGCATACAAAACAGGGCAGTAAAGTCCCTATACAATATCAGGAAGACCATTAAAAAAAGCTGGAAAAGCATCAAGATAGATGGCTTCTTTGTAGTTTCAGCCCAAAAGTTGAGCCCTGTTTCTAAATATTTTCCCTAGTGGGAAATAACAGCTTGAAAATAATCCCAGATGTATTCATTTGTATAGAATTGTGCTGCTTGCAATATATAAGCATGGAAATATTGTCGAAGGTTTCAATTCTGGTCTTGTGTTTTTTAAAATGTCAGGCTTTTGAAAAACAGCATCATTTTCCCTTAAAAGTTACTCATTTACCTGGAATGTTGGCCTGCAGGCCTAGATTATGGCCTGGGTTTGGGCTTCCTTGAGACTGAAAAATTGCCTATAGGCAGAGAGTGGGGGAGAGCAGGCAGTTGTTGTGGATCATGTTCAATTGTAACACAAAAGTCAGCTGAAGGCTGGGGTCCCATGCCATTAGGATATTCACTGAAATGAACGAGCTTTACCTCTGAAGAGTGCCGAGGACAAATTCAATTCCTTTTGCCTTTAATGGCGACCTTACCTAATGAACAGGGGCGCGGGTGGCGCTGTGGGTTAAACCACAGAGCCTGGGACTTGCCGATCAGAAGGTCGGCTGTTCAAATCCCCGCGACAGGGTGAGCTCCCGTTTCTTGGTCCCAGCTTCTGCCAACCTAGCAGTTTGAAAGGACCTCAAAGTGCAAGTAGATAAATAGGGACCGCTCCGGCGGGAAGGTAAACAGCGTTTCCGTGTGCTGCTCTGGTTCGCCAGAAGCGGCTTAGTCATGCTGGCCACATGACCTGGAAGCTGGAAGCCCCCTCGGCCAATAAAGCGAGATGAGCGCCGCAACCCCAGAGTCGGCCACGACTGAACCTAATGGTCAGGGGTCCCTTTACCTTTACCTTTACCTAATGCACACTTTCGAAAACAGTAAGAGAACCAAAGAACAACTGTCCTTCAAAGCTCACACTTATTCTGCAGCCCAGTTGTCCGGCAGCACAGGATTTAGGGCAGTGTGAGTGGTTCCACGGCACAGGGCACCAAGCCAAGGGAGAGCAAAATTGAGAAGATCCATAATTGAGAAGATCCATTTGGGAGCACCAAAATTTGGCCTTGCTCAGGGCACCATATTACATAAAATTACCAAAGTCCACTCCTTTCTCCAGCCACATAATATAAACAAAAAAAATTATATAATGTGAGGGATGTGTTTGCTGCCTAGCTAGTTAGGAGATAACATTCCAGGCATCGAGCCACTTCTGTCCGGTAGATTTATGACTGCAAAATCCAAGCCCACGCCGGAGCTCCAAAACAACACCTCCGTGTTGCTCACTCAGTTGCCGCTTCTAAATTTTTGTGACGTGGCTTTCTAGACCAGCATGCCCAGCGAGACAGGGAACGCCTCTTATCTCCTCTCTTCTGGGAATAGCTAGTTCCTGGAACAGACTGGCCACTCCCAATTTCAGTCTCCGATTCAGAGGACTGGCTGGAAAAGTGCTGTTTGGGCTCTCGGTAAGTGTTTCCATGCGCCCCCGTCTCTGTCTGCCTCCCTTTCCCTGACATCCACCCCCTCCTCAAAGGCCCCCTCCTCTCCGGGAGCCTCGACTGTCTCCATTTCCTTCCCATCCGGGGTGGCGGATGGAAAACCTGTAAAACTACCCTCCTCCTCATCCGTTACTTCAAAAACCTCCCTCAAGTCCCCCATTCCTCGTGTTCCCCCATATACTACTTCTTCTTCTTCTTCTTCTTCTTCTTCTTCTTCTTCTTCTTCTTCTTCTTCCTCCTCCTCCTCCTCCTCCTCCTCCTCCTCCAATGGCGGGAACCCCTCGAACTCCTCTTCATCGTCCGTTGTCTCGAATACCTGTTGCAAAGACCTACCCCGGGGCTTGGGCTTGTCAGGGAAAAAATTGTGAAACTCCTCCACTAGGTCCCCTTCTGTGATGCAGCTTTCTGGAACCCGGGTGTTCTCTGAGCTTGGGGCCCCTTCCCATGCCACCAGGTACTGTAACTGCCCCCCATGCCAGCGAGAATCCAGTATTTCCGTGACCTCGTTGCACTGCTCCCATTTCTCCATTTCAGGTGGTGGGGGTTCCCCACCCTCACCATCCTGCCTCCTCCCCCCCCCCTGTAGGGGGAGAGCAGTGACCGGTGAAACACTGGATGGATTCTCATGCTCTCTGGCAACCGCAGCTTAAAGGCCACTGGGTTGATTTGTTGGATTACCTCAAATGGTCCCACCCTCCGGGGCTTGAGCTTCTTGCAACCTCCTTTCCAGGGCAACCCTTGCGTGTACAACCACACCTTATCCCCAACCCGGACCACTTCCCCCGGCCGCCGATGCTTGTCGGCCTGCCTCTTGTAAACCTCCTTGGCCCTTTCCAAGTTCAACTGCACTTCTGTCCGGTAGATTTATGACTGCAAAATCCAAGCCCACGCCGGAGCTCCAAAACAACACCTCCGTGTTGCTCACTCAGTTGCCGCTTCTAAATTTTTGTGACATGGCTTTCTAGACCAGCATGCCCAGCGAGACAGGGAACGCCTCTTATCTCCTCTCTTCTGGGAATAGCTAGTTCCTGGAACAGACTGGCCACTCCCAATTTCAGTCTCCGATTCAGAGGACTGGCTGGAAAAGTGCTGTTTGGGCTCTCGGTAAGTGTTTCCATGCCCCCCCCCGTCTCTGTCTGCCTCCCTTTCCCTGACATATAATGGAGTGAAGTGTGCATGTGTTAACAAAAATAACACCAAAACACATGATATTAGGGGAAATGGCTTTGCAAAAATGTGTATATTACACAAAAATATGTACAGAAGGAGAAATTTGCACTAAAATGCAGGTGAATTTTCATGTGGACTTTAAAAATAAATCAGTCACAAACTGGAAAACCTCCTTGTCCTGATTTGTGAGGTCAGAAGGACTGTGTGCAGAGGAAGGCAACCAAGATGATCAAGGATCTGGAAACTAGGCCTATAGTTGAAGAAGTTGGGTATGTTTAGCCTGGAGAAGAGAAGACTGAGAGGAGATATGATAGCTATCTTCAAATATCTGAAGGGCTGTCACATGGAAAATGAAACAAACTTATTTTCTGCTGTTCCAGAGGGTAGAATAAAGGAGCATACCATTCCCAACTGCAAGATGAGCAAGAATATAATTTTTGAATGCTCCCCGTATTTTTTAAAAAGCACACAACTTCCAAGTAATAAATCAGTATGTCAGGGAGAAGGGTCAAGGCTAACTTATTCCCTTTTGTGATTTTCAACTTGCAGTCATTTTTAATTTTTAATTTTATTTTTTTGCATTTCAAAACAGATCCCCAAACTGCAGTTTAAAATGGTAGGACCTATTTGACAACTTCAAAATACTACCACCATTTCATCTCATTATTTTGCTGCAAGTGTCAATTACATCTGAACCAGCCCTTAAATACTGACAATTGTTCACTGCAAGGCAGCTGTAATTACCTTTATGAGAGAAGAAGAAGAAGAGTTTGGATTTGATATCCCGCTTTATCACTACCCGAAGGAGTCTCAAAGCGGCTAACATTCTCCTTTCCCTTCCTCCCCCATAACAAACACTCTGTGAGGTGAGTGAGGCTGAGAGACTTCAAAGAAGTGTGACTAGCCCAAGGTCACCCAGCAGCTGCATGTGGAGGAGCGGGGAAGCAAACTCGGTTCACCAGATTACGAGACTACCGCTCTTAATCACTATACCACACAGGCTCTCCAGAGAGTTATTACAAAGGTCAGGTTTGACTCAGCATGGTTCAGGCAAGATCAATGATGTTAACAAGTTTGCAATAGTGCCTCATCAGATTAAGTTTGGAATCTGGAGGAGGAAATCAGGCTGGAAAAGCTTCTCCTTTATATTGACCTCCTAAGACTGCAGTCCTGAGGGCAGATAGGAGAGAGCTCAAAGATGGATGAACCATTACATCTAATGCAGGCCTTTTACTGGCAGAGCACTAGTGAGTGTGAAGGAGTGCTCTTGTGCATCTCTGTTGTCTTCCTTGAAAACCCCCACCAATTTCCCTCCTTTTGATCTACCCCTGGTTTTCCCATGACACCCCCACAATCTGCCCCCAAGACACTCCCCTTTCCGGATCTCCCAATGTCAAAGCTCCTGTGTTGTTAGGGTAAGGGTTGTGATTTCCGCTGAGCCAGGGAGGAGCCATTCAACATCACCTCTTCCTCGCTAAAGTTTGACCTTTCTCTATCTGCCATCAGAGAGAGAAATCTGATGTTTCCTATCTGGGATACCCTCTCCCTGGGGACCATATTCTATCCACTAAAAAAATTGCTGGAAGTGCAAGAGCAGGGATCATTCAGTGTGCAACTTAAGGGTTAATTTTGTTAACGTCAACATGCACAGAGGGCAATGGGGTGAAGGAGCTGCTTTGCAGGGCATGATCTCTAGAGCTCTGGTTATGTAGTTATGAGAGAGTTCTTTCTCTGTATGTTTTGTTGAAGGTCTCCCTGCTACGTACAAGGCCTGACCTACAAAAGACAAAACCTTTCTCTTCCTTTCCCTTCAAATTATATGCTGTCTTTCTTCAGTTTGTTCAATAAAGTGCTATTCAGACTCTCTGTAGACTTCTCCCGCGTTTCTTAAGGGACTTTGCTAAGAAAAACCTGCAGGTGGAGATTCTGTGTCTGGAAGATATCTTCAAACAGATGCAACTATCAACCCTATAGCATAGGGTTGTAAGGAAGCAGTAGTAGTAAGGAAGAAGTTTCACACAGGTTTGATTTTGGTCCTGGCATTTGAGACTTATCTCACCCATCCTGGCTGCTCCACAATCCTCTTTGCTGTTGTTGCATTTTTGTTCGTCTTCGTTCAGTGTGCCTTTGAATGGGAGGCACAGTTCATAAATCACACAGGGGGAAAAACACAGGCAGGAAAAGGGTGCTATGAAATATATACAGAAAAGAAAACGTTTGATGGCAAAAGGCCGTCTTTTTTAAGACCCCTTGTTATGGTTGTGGTCACTTGTTTATACCTCGTAATAACTACAGCAATGTTATCAGCGCTAGTCAAAGCAGAAGGATTTCTGTCTGTGCTGTGAATATTGCCTCCAACAGACCCATGTAATTGTTTATAATAGCTACTCAGTGCATATAACCAGAGAGTTGGCCAGAAATGTAGGTGCTTCTGGGAAATAAATATTGCCTCTGCTGATAGGCATGATGTCGTTCAGCTCAGGGTAAGCAAATTAAATCCTCTTAATTAAAAATAAAAACCTCAGCCCACAACTTATTTTCCCTGCTGTATACATTATCTGTGGAGAGGTTTGTAAAATATGTAATGTGATACATTGATTTCATTCCAGAATTCCAAACTTAACCTATGTTATATGTGAGACTAGTTTCACTTAAATTTATAGTCCAGTTCCTACCATTGAGCTTACAAGTTAAGTTTTACAAGGGAAGGGCAATAAATTAAATCTAGATGGAGGCATAACTTTGGCCCTCTAGCTGGTTGTACAGTTTAGCACATTAAAAAGAGAGAGAGCATAATGCGCACTTGTTAATAAAATTAGCACAGCGCTGACATGTAAAAAACCATTTTATAATTGGCGGGTCCATTCTAAGGGCCTGTTGACAACACTGAATTTCAGAAACCTGCTTTGGTAACAACATTGTAAATGTGGAAAGCTCATAAATGGATACAACAGAAATTCGTTTGCTCTTTGATATTACGTGTGTATGTGTGTGTCTCCGTAAAGCGAAAACTGTAAAATTACCACATAATAAAAGCCAGGGTACTGAGCGCTAATTGCCTATTTATACAAAAAAGGGTCTTTTCTACAGTCTTGTAGGTGTGAGGCATAAACGTCTTGGATTTTACGAAGCTGCGATTTACATTTTCAGCCTGTCTGTTCTCTCTTGCATTTCATCTCAACCTTATAAAAAAGAAAATGTGATTTTATTAATCTGCTTCAAGTATTCACCGGGCATTAAATCCACAAAGCACCCTGCAGGGTTTTAATTGTGACAGAAGAGCCAGCGACAATTGGGGCCTCCTGCCCACCACTGAGGCTGGCCCACCCTGGCTGCTGGGCACAAATGCTGGTTTTTAAACAGCAATACCCGGCCGGTCGTGATAGCCACTTTGTCAGCTGCCTGGAGGGAAGTTGTCAAGTCTGGGACCCCGCTGCTTTATTCCTATAACTCTGTTGTAGAAACACCTCACAAGTGGAATTGTGGTTGCCTCATCCAGAAAATGTGGAAAGGATTAATGTGGCATGTAAAACAAATCACTCTTGAGCTCAGCTGAGAAAGTGGGTATTAAAAGCACTCCAGTCAAAAGGGCTTTTAGTAAAAGGGTTGCTGTGATATACAGTCAGCATATGCTGGGCTGGTAAAGCTGCAGGGTGTTTGGAAATGGTAATGGTCCATGGGTGTAAATTCTTTCAAGACCTCTTAAAGGCACATATGTTTTTTGAGCATGTTCCTCAAACAAGGACCTGTTATGGTTTAGAGTCAATGGCGCTTTTAAACTTTATTGATTGGCTTGTGATATTCCGAGGCCACTTAACCATCTTTCTAGTATTGCTGGACAAGTGGCTTTTAGAAACCTGGAATCTCATACATTCTCTTGCCTACGCAGTTGTGTGCATTCTGAAATTAGCAATCTCTAGAAGTCCAGTCATCCCAAGGAAACAGTTTGACATCTTCCCGGGGTGTGTGGGTATGTGTCTGTGTGTGCCCTTTTATTGAGCTTTGTTTATTCTTATGCAGATTTATTTATTGGTTGATATACCACTGTTCTGGTCCCCAAAAGCCCTTAAAGGTTGCTTACAATAAAAATAAGTAAAAACAGTGAAATACCTTGTCCCCGTTTTGCAATGCACAAGTACAGGAGAACATTTTCGGAGGCTGTTTTCACTCAGATATGCATATACCTGCTACTTCTTCTGAAGATCATAGACTCCTTTCAAAGCCACTTTGAAAACCACATTTGTAACCAAACATGTTACAAATGAAGAAGAGCAGAATCATTCCAATGCAAATCTTTTTTGAAGCCTAGATTTCACAAGTATGGGACATTGTACAAATTAACCAGGAATATTGATCTGGTGGGGTGGGGTGAGCACTCACACCTTCTGTAAGACAAGTTATTCTATTATTGACTTTGTTTAGACATTTGAACATGGTTTTGATCCTCCTTGTGGAGAGACACTTTCATTTAACTGCCTTTCTGGGAAGGTCTAAAACTGCAACCATCAGCCGCTATTTTTCTTTCTTTTCTGAACAACTACTAAGCTCTGTTTTCCTTGCATGCGTATGTTTTGCTACTTGGAATTAATAGATCAATTAAACAACATCAACAGCATCTCTCCAGGGCAACCCATCACCAAATGCACACAGAGGCAAATGTTCACCATACCATGTTGTAAAAACACACACCAAAGCACACATTTAAAAGAAAAAGCTCAGAGCGATGGAGAAGGAGCCAGTATGTAGCACTAATAACCTAGCAGGGTAGCAGTAATCAGAAGCAAGATGAAAATGGGATGACGAATGGCCCAGATATTCATCATGTGCAGGAGTGAACCTTATAGTGAAGCTGTGCTGCTCAGCTGACCACCCTCTAGTTGTGTTGCTGCTGCATAGTAAAATACAGAGGAGGAGGAGGAGAAGTCAGACAGCAGCAAGATTAGCCTGCTACAAACACATCAGCAGAGGTGATCTGGTAGCCCTCATTCTCTCCATTCTGGTATGCAAAGAGATATAGCTGATTTAGGTGTACAAACTCAGTGTAAGTTCTCCAACTGTCAGATGGGAGCAAGTAGTTGCCTACATAGATCACAGGAATGTATTGCAGGTAAAGCTGCAAAGGGAACAAGAAAAAACTGAAGCCTAATATTGAAAAGACAGAGGGGTTGTGTATTCAAAGTTTTCGAGTCCAGGAAGTGGGGACATGATAGTGTTTAAAGTCCTAAATAACCCAGCACCCCAACACCACCTCCTTCCCTATAGACCCTCCCAGTTGGTAAGATAAACAGAGAAAGGGTCCTTTTGGTAGTTCCACCTGGTAGTTCCCCAGTGGGGTAGTGGTGGTGATATGGGAGAGGGCATTCTCTGTGGCAGCCCCTAAGTTGTGGTGCTGCCTCACCAGACAGTTGTGTCCAGCTCCTTTACCATATAGCTTTTGGCCTTTGACACCTGAGATGTGTGTTTTCAGAGCCCACCCTATTCCTGCAGGTGCAATCTGCTTAAACTGTTTTAAATGTCGAATTATGAATTGTTGTAACCCACCCTGGGACCTGCTGGTGAAGATTTAAGAGTAAGGAGCACATTGTGTAGAACCATTTAAGTGAGGTAGTCTACTGGCTTGACCTTCTGCTTAGGAACATTTTATCCATACTTTAAAGAAGAGGAGCCATAGTTCAGTGGCACAGCCCATGTGCTGCATAAGGTCACAGGTTTAGTTCCCAGAACCAATAATAATAATAATAATAATAATAATAATAATAATAATAATTTATTTATACCCTGCCTATCTGGCTAGGTTTCCCCAGACACTCTGGGCAGCTCCCAACAGAATATGAAAAACACAATAAAATATCAAACATAAAAACTTCCCTAAACAGAGCTGCCTTCAGATGTCTTCTAAAAGTCAGGTAGTTGTTTATTTCTTTGACATCTGATGGGAGGGCGTTCCACCGGGTGGGTGCCACTACCGAGAAGGCCCTCTGCCTGGTTAGATCCCTCTCCAAGATCCTGGCAATATTGAACGAGATGGACCAGTGGTCTGATTAATGATAAGGTTCTTTGAGCATGTTCAATTTGTTTGTGGACTGAAATGATTCAGACTTATCATCTGTTGAGTAGTTCCGTTGTTCTTGAAAACTATGCCTGCTACTTTATATGTAAACCTAACAATGAATTTAAACGTTAAAATGAACATAAAATCAGGGAGCAGCTGCATAGACTTCCCTTGCAGGTAATCACTGCATCTGAACACTGGCTTCACTGAATGGAGCTCATGTTACAATTGCTTTTGAGCTGTACATGCCAGATGTTTGTGTGTGGTTTTTTTGTTTTTTTGTTTAAAGAGCATGCAAGAGACCTTGTTGTATTTCAAAGTGGGAAGTGGCTGAAATGGAAACGAAGAACAATGCTGCATCTGGCTGTTAGATTTTATTTGCCATTGCATTCGGCAACTTTGCAATAACATTTCCTTCCACTGTCCCTGCACACTCACCAATAAATCTGTGGTTTCTTTCAAAACATTGCTATTGTATCTGGACTCATTCTGGGGTCTTGAAATCAATTAAAAGTACAATGTTGGCTTTGATGGTGTACAGGAAAGAATTGGCACAGGAAACTGAGATGGTGGGTCCCTGCTACCTGTCAGATTTCTACCTGAGTTTCAGCAGGAAAGTAATAAAAATATATATTTACCGAAAATGTGCATAGAAAGTAGGAATGAACAGACACAACAAGGACAAGTTTAATTTTTTATCTGTCCAGAATATATCTCCATGGGTAATCTTGGGAAATAAATCATGGATACATGAGCAGCAATTATGTCAGAGTTGGGGGGCAAAAAAAGAAGAATATATATGTGTGTTTGTGTTTTGAATCACCGTATATAAAATTACTCATGGATTGCTCTTATTTTTGTTAATCCTATAAATCACCAGGACCGTCAAGCAGAAAGGTCATGGTTTCATGATCAAAAACGTACTTAGCTGAGTTAAAACAATCGTGCGGAATCCTGTGTGAATGTTGAATATTTTGGTTTCCCTTTCAGGTTCTGGTTCAGTGCCCCAGACTCTGCCTCTGACTGTAACCATGACTGAAAATATTGTTTCACCCGTTTCAGCAATGACACCATTTGTTACTTCTTTGCTTTACTACAGGGCTGGTAAAAGTCAAGATCAATCAACCACCTTTAATATTTCCACCATGCAGAGAACTTTGCAGCCAACATGCAAAAAGAGATACAGTTGAAGTGAAGTCACGCTCTGGCATCTTCATAAAATGGAAAGCCGAACATGTAATTTCTGCATACCAGGACCGAACTGCCTAAATTTCGCTGCCAATGCCCTGAAGTTGAGAAAATAATTCAAATATATATTTGAATAGACAGAGGACAGGAATATCACCTTGAAACTCTGGTTAACTATTATTATTTTAATTGCAAGCTGATGTGGAAATGCAAAGAACTGAATTTAAGATAGGAAAAATAAGAAGTTGAGTGAAATTGACAAATATTCCCATTCTTAGTAGCTCCCACATCCTGCTAAATGGGAGATAATTTGCTTCAGGGGGTACCATGAAGGCAGTGGGAGGATAGATACAAGAACTAATGTATTTAAAATTGTGGGGGGCATTTGGACTCCACTTCGGGTATTAAAATTCAGTGGGCCAGCACAGATGTTGAGTAGCACTAATCAATATGTCATCATTAGATGTATATACTATCCCATATATTTTTGCATTTCTGTAGTGAGAAATGGTACATGGAAACGAATATAGGCCCATGGAGAAAAGCATAATATACGGAAAAGAGACAGGCTATATAAGGATGTAGAAGGGGAGACTGAGAGAATGAAAAGAGGAAGCAGGAAATGAAGGCAACATTTGAAAAGCAAAACTGCCACACCATAATTTATTAGGCAAACCAGGAAATGAATTACAGTTAAAGAATGACAAGAGACATTTCGGAAACTATATATAATAAAAAGTAAATTCTGGACTGATGGATCATGTGCTTCTGGAAATAAAATCACATTGCCATTTTCTCTCGCCAACCCACCAAAATGTTTTGGGTTTTTAAAAAAATGTTTTCCAATTGATAAATATGACTAATAAAAACGGTATGCTATAGAACTGATTACATTCAGGCAAACAACAAACACCTTTTTATTTTTGAAAGGTCAAAAAACCCTCACGGATTAATGCACTCAAGTTAGTTAAAAGGTCTACTCAGATTATGACTAACAGTGGGTCATTTTAGCATTTCACTCCTCCGTTGCTGGATGTGTGATTGTTATATCACATGTCTGTGTTTACTGTCTAGTGTGGGAACAGAAACTAGTCTTATCTCTTCCACTCTACTGTACTTTTGTACTTTCTTTCACCTCCTTCCTCTCCAAGAGAGAGAGAGAGAGATCATTGGTACTTGATCCAGTGAGCAGTGTTTACATAGCTGGGCGTTCTCAGGCCAAAGGCAGCTCTAGCCAGCCCTAGACAAGACCCCTACCTGCTCTTGCTCTGCTCTCCCTGGTCGCTTTTGCTTGGCTGGAAGAAACTTTGATAATGCATCTTGTTTGCCTGAATGGTGGGTAGAGAGATTTGTATGAGTGCAGAAGCCTCTCTATGCGTATGGCTGGAATGTAACCTATGCGGCAAAGGTCAGGATCATTGCTCTATACTCTTGGGCCTCTGGCCTTGCCAACCGGGGCATGGGATCCCCAGAAGACTTTCCATGGAGGAATGTATATGTTTCCCACTCCCAGGGATGGGGGAGAAATTCATTTCAGTTCACACATAAAGGCAGACCTAATGAATCCACACTTTCCAAAACAATACACAAAAACCAAATCAGAGCCACCCAGAATGCGGCAGCTAGACTGGTGACTGGGTGTGGTCGCCGAGACCACATAACACCAGTCTTGAAAGACCTACATTGGCTTTCAGTACGTTTCTGAGCACAATTCAAAGTGTTGGTGCTGACCTTTAAAGCCCTAAACGGCCTCGGTCCAGTATACCTGAAGGAGCATCTTCACCCCCATCGTTCTGCCCGGACACTGAAGTCCAGCACCGAGGGACTTCTGGGGGTTCCCTCACTGTGAGAAGTGAATTTACAGGGAACCAGGCAGTGGGCCTTCTCAGTAGTGGCGCCCACCCTGTGGAATGCCCTCCTACCAGATGTCAAAGGAAAAAACAACTACCAGACTTTTAGAAGACATCTGAAGACAGCCCTGTTTAGGGAAGCTTTTAATATCTGAATGATTATTGCATTTTAACATTTTGTTGGGAGCCACCTATTATTATTATTATTATTATTATTATTATTCTGAAATTTGCACTTCCCTGAATTTTGCAATTCTCCAGCAACATAATGTGTACAAAAATCTATATACTGTACAGCATTAATGGGTTCATATAAATGCATCTATTGATGGAAATAGCATACTGTACAAAAACACATTGTGTTGTGGGTAATTGCTTTGCCAAAAAATGCATATACTGTATAAGGGAAAATTGAATATAAGCATGTGCATTTTAGGAGAAATTTGCACTAAATGCTGGTGAAATTTCACAAGAATTTTTCCCCACAAAAAGTAGACTTAGATAGAATTGTGGAGAGCCAAACTTAATACTGGGGCAAGTGGAATCAGAGGTATGAACAGTACACACAAAAACATGTATATTCGTGAAAATGTACAAAAATGCATCCTACAATGGAAAATAGCTTCCAAAATGTATACAGTGGTACCTCGGGATGCGAACGGGATCCGTTCCAGAGCCCCGTTTGCATCCCGAACGGAACGCAAGATGCGACGGCGCGTCTGCACGTGCTTGAGTCGCGTTTCGCCGCTAACACACATGCGCGTGACGTCATTTTGAGGGTCTGCGCATGCGCGAGCGGCGAAACCCGGAAGTAACATGCTCCATTACTTCCGGGTTGCCGCAGAGCACAACTCGAACGTGCTCAACCTGAAGCGCATTCAACTCGAGGTATGGCTGTACTATGTTATTGTAGTTCAAAACAGCTGAAGGGCTTGAACTAGGATCTTCAACACTAGCCTCTGGTGGACTCTCAGCAATAGTGCTGCTGCCCTTCGTATCAGCCAAGTCTGCCATCCTGCACTGCTGCTACACCTGCTGTCCGTTGTGGGGGAATGTAAGATGGCATCTGCCCACCACGGATCAAAGGTGAGCAGCTGGTGGCTTGGCTTCCATAGAAAACCACCACCACTGAGCGTTCAGCAGCAGCAGTAGCAAACTCCATTACCAGATGCAGGTATGACTATATATAATAGGCAAAATTGTGGTAAAACGAATATATATTGGGAGAAATGCACAAAAGGCATATGAATGTCCATACAACCTTTTTAAAAAAAGCTAAAAATGTGGCAAACTGAATTTAAGATAAAAAAAAATGTGAAACTCAGAAATTGATAGTTTGTCCATCCCTTCTTTGAAGTAAGGCTTAACATTAACAGCTAAAACGTTAGCAATAATATTAATTAGGCAGTGCCCCCTTCCATGGCTCTTATTCATGATATGCTGTATAGAGCAATAAAATGCACCTAGTGCATATAATAAACATAAAGGTGAACTAATATGGAAATATGGATTCCATGCCAATATTTCTAAAAGTTTTCAACACATTTGTTGTTGTTAATGGTTTATTAGTTTCTTCAAAAAAAAGATCTTACAACTAACAAGACTTTCCCCTTCAATTCTCCTTCCCAAAATTCCCTCCTCCCTCTTATCCAAACATATTAATTCCAAAAAACTTTAATTCAATGCATACACTTAAAATCCTAATAATTTAAGGAAGAAAAAAACACTTCTCAACACTTTTAAAGCTTAATGGGGCAGCAACAAAGATGAAGAACCGGCCAAACATGCTTCACATCTTATCAGATTCATATTATCATTTGAATGCATATGAATCCCATAGTTTGTATTCAAATTACAGACCCTTGCAACTTCTGTTTGGCTGGCACCGAATACTAAATATTAAGGTTCAATCTATATTGGAAACTGAGCTTGAAATGGGTTTATAGCCTGGAGGCAAGTTGTGAATCCCATAAAGCATTGTTAGAGGCACCTGGTTAGTGTTTGGTACACCTGCTTAATGTTCCTCTCCCCTCCCCAAAGTCGCAAACGTCAAACGTCTTTGCAACGTAATGGGGTTTGAATGACAGCCATGCGCTTGAACAGCAGTTATGTTTTTTCACTACCAAATTGGATCATAAATGATGAAAAAGAGGTCAGAAAGGAAGTATGGAGGCAAACAAATTTGAAAGGGGAAACTGCTAATAGCCATAAACCGTGCAAAATCAAAGGGGCCGACAAGTCATTGTGGATTACCTGCCCCATGAATTACTGATCAAGCTGCATTATGATATGGAATTTTCTGGCTCCTTTCATCTGCAGCACAACACTTTCTAATGGCTCCCAGATTAAAACGCACAGATTTGCCTGAAGAATGCTTTCTTAGAAAGCAACCCCCATTGCTTTGCATACGTAACATGCTTTATGTGTTGAGTTTTTCTTAAATATGAAGGTTAGACAGCTAGACTGCTTCTTGATTTGATTACGAGGCATGCCACAAGTGCCATCCTCTTCGACACTTCTGAAATGAACTCAACACAAAATGTTGCGTTTCCATGACAAAGCCATTTTGAATGTGCAGTAAAGTCACAGATGATTTGACGTGCCTTCACAGTTATTTCTCACCAGAGGAGAGTGCTGAATGCAAGTAGTCTGTCAACGCCTAGTCACATGTTTTGAGACTGATATACTATCAAGGCCCAATGTACATATTTACACAAACACACCCCGCACACATATTGAGGCATCACTGGCATGAGACGCAGACATGTCTTTGACTCTTTCCACATGATCTCAGAGTTATCTCACTGGGGTTGTACAGGAAATGGCCACCTTTTGGCAGCTTCCATGCAGTCAGGTCCGCCATAAAACAAATTATGGAGCACGCACATGTGATTAAAAATGAACCATGTGATTGTGGGCTGATCATTCTTTAGTTCACAGAACCTGGTCTTTTTTAAAAAAAATAGGGACCACACCTGTCAGAGAGGGGAGGTTTAGCCAAAAATAGTCACCTGCAATCTGAAATTTGCAACAGAAAAAAAATAACCCACTGAAGCTAATATAAGGGGAATCCTCCCCCCCCCCATCATTAATTGTGGTTTTTGGCCGGGGGTGTTTTTTTGTCAGGCTAATGGTAGAAGAGGAAACAGTAAAGTCTCTTCTCCCCATGAACTGGAGTCCCAATTCAAAACAGACTCCCACACCCCATGTATGTGCTTACTGCTAAATTTTAAAACCCAGACAATACTGCAGGCAACAAATTGAGCATTACATGTAGCAAGGCCTCAAATGCCTAAAGATTGTAACCTTCCCTAGTAACAGAGATGTTCCAATCCCCTTTTCTGCGCTCTTCCCAGCCCTTCAACATCCTACTTCAACATCTTACATCCTAGATGTGGCTAGTGAGAAAAGCTGTAAGACGCTTTATACAAAAAGCTACTAAATCTGGCCTGAAGCCTTATTTCAAAAATAAACCAGGATTTGGGGGTCAAGGGGGGGAAGTCTTTACCGATATTCCTGTGTGCCGGGGAATGTGCATTTACTTTTGTTACCTCAGTCAGCCAACGAGGGGCACTATTGCATCACGCCACAGAAGTTAACAAAATCTTTTTAATTAGTGTTTTGGCAATACAAATGACGTTGCTGTTAATCTCTTGGGAATGACACTTTTATTTTAATTCCAAAACGTATTATTTTGTCATAATTGTTGTTATTCTCTTTAGTAATACTATTATTAGTATTAGTATTGCTATTAATAATGCTGTCATTATTATAAACTACATGAGAAGACCTAAGATTTCTGCTTGCTTTGAAGAATATCAACATTGTACACTGCCATGTGATTTTTAGGTTGTCGGTTTTGCATTTGTCAATTGCAAAACACATCGGATATAGCAATAACTTGACCCAACACAGGTGAATGATGAAAGAGAGATTATTTCTCTTCAGAATAGGGACAGAGAAAT